CCAGAGAGAGTGGTGAGGCACTGGCACAGGTTGCCCAGAGAAGCTGTGGATGCTCCATCCCTGGGAGTGTTCAAGGCCAGGCTGGATTGAGGCTTTGAGCAACCTGGTCTAGTGGAAGGTGTCCCTGCCCATGGCAGGGGGGTTGGAACTGGACGATCTTCAAGGTCCCTTCCAACCCAAACCATTCTGTGATTCTATGACCGAGTCGTGACACCTTCCTTGAAATGATTTCCCCCTCCCAGCTGCTCCCCCGGCTCCGAGCAGCACGACATCACGATGGATGGCTTCAGGCTTCCAGTGCCGACGGTGAAGGATCAACCTGTGATCGATGGAACGAGGAGTTAGCCTGCTCACCGCCAAGCTCCAAACCTTTCCGCTTCCTTCGCTGTCGAGATCACAGGTTTGGGTTGGAAGGGACCTTACAGACCATCTAGTTCCAAACCCCAGCGCTTCCCTGTCCTGCACACTGGAGGTGACCCAAACCACCTCCCGCTCGCCATTCGCGTACATCACCGCCGTAGAAGGAGGGTAGCTGGGGGCTGTGTCCCCAACAGCCTCCGTCAGGCCTGTGTAACGCCCTTCCCCCCGACTTCACGGCACAGATTTCGTGAGCAGACCTGGGCAACAGCCAAGAAAAGAACCATCTGAGGCACGGTTACAAGTATAACCTCCAAAAATGTCTCCAAAAATTGAAATGAGCCGCATCAGTGCTCACACCTGGTTCCCCAACTGACTCGTCAGCGCAGGACGCGTATTTCCAGCTCTTCCACGACGTGTCGCAACGATGCACAACTGGTGTAACGTCTAACCCTCTACCTGGCGGTTTTGCTCGAGCACCGGGCTGGGCAGGAGCAAACGTTTTTTTTTGCTGCCATTACCGGCTCGCTTGAAACGCCCGGGGGCCTGTGTTGGGAGCACAGAGGGAGCAGTCATTGGGAACAGGAAGGGAAAACGTGTGCTGGCCCTGAGGCATCACTGCATGGCGTAATCTGCCTTCTCCTCCCTGCTGCCTTTGCCCGGTTCCTCCCGGCGCCTCCAGCCTGGGACAGCCCCCCGCCGGCTGTACCAGCACCCCCACAGTGGGGCTGTGGCTCCAAGGGGCTTCCTGGGCTTCAGCTCTGCCGCTCCGGGGCTGCACGCCACAAAACGTTGACCTTGGCGGAGGGACACTTCGGGTGATTCTCCCGAATGG